TTAAGCCTTTAAATGTCACTTTAGACTGAATAGTACAGTGCTTCCCACAATTAGACTTTACTTGGGTGGGCCGCCTAGGTATATTAATGACCGTCCAAGTATTTAGTGACACATTTTTTTACTGTTATTATCATCATCCTTTTACACTTCTTTTGTATCCGCCCAATACAACCAAACCTCCGCTAGCAATTAACCATTGGAAAATCTTTCCAATGTTTACCCGTTTACCCGTTTCATACTGCTCAGATAGTCCCAGACAATCTCACGTCCTCTGCAGACCCACAGAGACCCGCACTTAGTTGTGTGTGGCCGGGGTTTCTAAATCTATAATGTCCAGGATTTGGTTTTGCTTTCATTTTCTAAGCTGTCGTGTATTTTATGCGCACAGCCTCAAGATCGAAATAAACAATAAATAATTCTTCAACCTAAATGACTCAGAAAAACTTTACTATACACCCGGGGAGAACGAAATCACATCTAAATTGCCTGCAGAATATTGACACACCATTGGAAATGGGTAATCGGCTCATTTGTCTCATTTAATTAATCTACAAGTTTTATTTTTGAGTGTGTTTTATTCTTTTGCTCTGCCGTTTAGTTTTATTAATTTGATGATGTCGATATATTAAATATTTTATACATTTGAAATGCTTTGGCTATACTGTTCAAAATGTAATGCCTATAAGGCAACCTGAACTTAAATGAGAGAGAGAGAGAAGCAGATTTCACTTGTCAGTAGGTGCAGTAGGCCCCTGAATGGCATAAAAGAAACAGTTTTTTTTTTTTTTTTTTACTTTAACCTATTAAAAAGAAAAGTTTAAACAGGAAATAATGAGAGTAGTGTTAACTTATGTTTTATTTGTTGCATATAGTTATGTAGGCTATTTATGTGCTGTGGGTAAAAGGTGTGTCTCAATTCGGCTACCAACGCAAGTATATTTCAAACCTGGGGGAAGCACTGTAGTATCTTGAAAAATATCAGGTAAAATATTAAGCACGGTCATCATAACAAAGATAAAAAAATAAACAAAGAAATAAAATTTGTTATATGTTTAGAAATGTGTTGGAAAATGTTTTTTTCCATTAAACAGAAACTGGGGGAAAATATCAAGGGGGGCTAGTAATTCAGGAGAGCTAATAATTCTGACTCTTTTGATTGATGTAAAGTATGCGCAATAAAACCTACATTACATTATCAATTCGGTCTTGTTTTCTATGTCTCATTCCTTCAACATTATTCACACTCATATTCAGTGTTCTGCAATGTTTAGTGTTTTTTTTTTTTTCTCAGGATGGGGGTGAATTATGGCTCTGTCCTAAACGTACCCCGGCTGTGTCGTTCCCCTGAGAAGGGAGCCTGGGTCAGCTGATTAAAAAGATAATGAGTTGAAGTGATAGATTTGTGTTTTTTCCTGCAATATGTGGCCTTTCGCTGTCTCCCGTAGGAGGCGGTAACTGTATAAATAACAGATGGTGACATTGGAAAGCAACTGCTCCCTCGCTTTAGTTGTCTCAGCCTTTTCTGTCGCTTTGTTCAATTAAACACAGCAGCGATTAAAGGCCCAAAACATGTAGAGCATCAAACACGATGCTGCCGACTTCAGAAACACCATCTTGACTCATGTGCAGGTTAACATTTGATTAAGCCTAATTTTACTGACAGAATTACTGTTTCGAGTGAAGCTTTTGATGGAAAAGTATAAGTTATACTTGAAGAAAAAAAAAAAAAGTATATATATATATATATATATATATATATATATATATATATATATATATATATATATATATATATATATATATATATATATATATATATATATATATATATATATATATATAAAAATATAAAAGTATGAGAGTGAGTGTGTGTGTGTGTGTGTGTGTGTGTGTGTGTGTGTGTGTATGTGTGTATGTGTGGGGGGGGGGGGGTGTGTGTGTGTGTGTGTGTGTGT